CATACAGTAAGTGATGAAAAAAAGCTCATTATCAAGAAAATAGCTACCAAAGGGAAAGAAAAAAGTCAGGAATGTCAGTTACGATGATCTTCATTTTCAGACCAGAAAATAAAGTGTGAATTACTTATTTCAGGTAGAAGAACACTGAAAAAGAACAGAGGGTGCACTGGAAAGAGTTCTTCTAGACTTTGATGTCTAGGCCAAAAGCTAAGTGAGCAACTTGCATTATAAACTTATTTAGAAGGTTACCTGCATTATTAGTTCCCAGTTCTAAGCAGAAGTAATTTTGTACAGACCCTGGAAAGCGAAGAATAGGTACTCTGTTGACCACTAGTGGACAGATAAGGATGAAACAGGTCCCAGATACTTCCCAAATACATCACTCTTGACTCCAAGGTAATCCAATGTATTGGCTCTTTGGGCTCAAAATTACAGAGCTCCCTAGTAACACTTAAAAAGTGAAAATGTCGCGTATGTATGTAACCGACAAGGAAGTATTTTTAGCCCTTTTAAAGATGAAAGAAGTTCCCCATGGGGCTGAAAATGAGAATTGTCCGCCCAAGAAGTAATCACTCAAACATCTGCAAGATATTACAATGAAAGACAGGAATTTAAAGTATCATTAGGAAAAGAGCTGCTATATTACTTCAGCAGTGCTGTCATTCACAAATGGCTAAAATATTGCAGTTATAACATACATGCTTTTCCCAGGTCTCCTGGCACTATCTCCCATACCTTAATACACTTACTAAAAATCTTCAACACTGACAGACATCGTCCCTTCTTATAATATGATTCTTTGTCATATTTGAGACCTTTGTCAAAAAGGTCTCGCTTTTTGTTTTCAAAGCATGATGATGGTAGGAGCGTAGGGAATACAAATTTCAAGTTTCTGAGCCTCTTTCTAAATTTGGGTAGCATGAAAAAAAAATCCACCTGCCAAAAGCTCCTTCTCATTTAAAATGAGCCAATTTTAGCTCTACTGTGTCTAGTAATTGCTTTCTGGCCGATGAACAAAGAACTTTATAGGTCAAAATAGAAAAAAAATCCCATCTAAGAAACAAAAGATGCTCTTCAGATCCTGTGCATTCCTCCTAAGGAAGTAACATTGAGAAAATGCTGCTGCCAAGCTGGTATCACTGTGAAAATAATTTTCACTGAGAATTTCATTGCTCACAGAGAATCCTGAGGCAAAAAGAGCACATGCTGAGGCCAAAGGTTTCATCTACTCAAAGACACCACAAAAAAAACATAAGAAACAAAATGCTTGAAGAGTCCCAGCTCTCAAAATGAGGCACTCAAGAGGTATTTTGGACCTTAAATTCATTCAGAAGATTTTATCTGCACTACATGAACAATAGACACATCCCTAGCACACATCAGAATTGCTCATAAAGCTGATCTTAGGCAAGCACCAATTTTGGTGGAAGGAATAGCTACTTGGGGAAGGAAAACACTTTTTTCCACTGTAAATTATTCTTAAAGACTTTCTCGGAAGCTTGGAATACCAGCACTAGGGGAAAAGGTAACATATTAGAAATGATTTGTATAAAAACTTCAGATTCATAAAACTACATACATATTTCCAGACAGTCAATAAGATAAAGTTAATTGATCAGTAAGTGGGTCAATTCATAAGGAAATGCTGCCTACTGACGTCTATTTTACTGCATTGCACATAGCTCATGTCCTCAACCTGGATTAAGAAGTGAGCATTACTACAGCAGAGCAGACTCTATACTTTGCCTTTTAACCTCAGTTTGGGGGCCTAAAGATTTCAGTTCTATAAACCTGCATTATCTACAGAAAGCTATTTCTTACCCTGGTCAAATAGACACAGGCATTCAACAATGCTACACCTTACTGACGACCATAAAACACCCCCGCAGCCAACCAAGCAGCAACCCACAATCCTCCACCTTTTCCTTAATCACACTGTTAGTCTTCAGCCAAGCAGATCTTTTAACATACGAGGGAGTTTACAAGCACTAGGAGACACACACCTAAGGCTGAATATATCCCTTCATTGTTCTAATTGTCATAGCAATAGAAGATTAAATATGCATGGTATTATTTCCTGGTAGCTAAGAGATTTTGTTGTTTCTACATAGCGCATACCATTAGTTGTTACTGGTATCCTTCATTTGAGAAAAATCTGCCATTTGCAGTACAAGAGAGCACAGATACAGCCAGCAGAACCAGAGGAAACACTATGGTACATGGAACCATCCTCACTCAAATGGAAAAGTTTGACAGATAAAGCTGGTGTTAGGGATCTCTGCATACTCTATCAGACTCTTCATCTCACAAAAAAATCTTGGCCTGAGTTGCAGAGAGTGAAATGAGTGAATGGATTTACTGGGATACTGACAAAATCCAACACTATAAGCCTAAGTGTTGATAAACAGTATATATTTATGCCTGCATAAGCTTAACTGACCGTTAAAAAAAAACAACAACAACAACAGATTATGTGTTATCTATCATGTTTTTAAACATAATATGAGCACTACCTTCAACAGAATTGTTCAAATACTATCATGAGAAAATGCTACATTTTTGGTGTTTCACTTCTGCAACAGCACGCATGCTAGTGCAAACACAGTGTATCACTTCAATTCCAGGTAGTCCCTCTAAATAATAAGAAATATACCAATGACTTTTAATAAAACAACATTTTTCCCTAATATACCGGGACATCATCCGTATTGGATCCATTTGGAATCCATACATCCATTTGGAAAATTCATTCTAATATTTTCAAGCTAATACTTGGCTTTCTTGACATTAGCGTTGGACTGTTACTCAGGCTCCTGAACTGAATTTTATCTGGCTGGATTAAGTTCAAAGTCAGTATTCCTTCTACTGCAAGTAAAACTTATATCCTACTCAAAAAAAAAAAACACAAACAACAACAACAAAAAAATTACTGCTTACTTCTTTGAGTATGGAAAAGAAAATAAAAATAAATGCAGAGAAAATGCTATTTACAAGACATAGCAATAATTTAATGACTGCGTTAAGACAGTAATTGGAAAGTTGAAAGAATTAGTTTCCAAAAATAGTTAAAAATTCATGTTAAAACTATAAACCTGGCATAATAGATTTCTGCTTCTGCACACTCCTTACATTACCTACTTGCGTAGCAGTACTTTTGTTAGTAGCTATAACACACATATAGCATTAATGTTCAGCTGAGGTCATATGGGAAAAAACTTGCAAACAAACATGATTAATGTCTACAGTATTATTTGTTCTTGACTGATTAAATCAATGCCAGGTTTGCCTTTGCACTAACATTGCGTATTTCCATGCATCATATGTTGAACATGGTAGTAAATCTACTTTCAGAAGATACTACTACTTCAACTGCACTGATACCCACAGAGCCTGTGTTGCATGCTCTGATACCGACAAATTTGTGAGCTGTACTTCTCCACTCCCCAGACAGCTCTTTTTTTCCAAAGATAGCATTTTAAAAGCGAAATGGACAAACAAATGAGGTTTATGTCAATTTCTGTCAACAGAAGGGCAAACTTCAAAGGTCTTCACCATATGCCACATAAGTAATAGAAGTTTTGAAGCTGATTTCACAAAAGACAAGATTGCACACATCACTGTTACAAGAAAACCCTTCTGTCAATATGAGGGGTCACTGTCTGCACTTAAAGGATGCAGAACCTGCCCACTGCTTAATGGTGTGCTGGCATTAACTGGCACTTAGAGTCTGCAGGAGGTTATTTTTTAAGAAACACTTCAGACATGTTAATAAAACGTCTGAAAGCCTGTATAATTTACTGCCTAAGCTGCACCAAAGCTCTGAGATAGGTCTACTGTGAAAACCTGCCTTGTATTTTGCAAAAAGGCTATGAAAAAGTAACTGCGAGCACTTGGTGAGAGATGCCCCAGTAAAGTCTCAGTGAAGGAAACCAGTTAAAGTTGATGCACTTCTAAAGCAATTTCACACAAGTAAGTTTGATCGTGATCTCAAAACCAAGAAAAAGACTAAAACAATATACTTAAGTTGTAAAGACTCAACGAATGCAAACCATCTCACCCCTCATCACAGCCAGTAATCTGTAAGAATATCCTACAGCCTATGGGTTGTGGAAGAGTTATTAACACCAAAGGGTTTTTATAGCTCCAGCAGGGCTTGACATATGTCAAGTTACAGTTACAGATGCTGGTTTCCTATGCTGAGGAGGAGCAGGTTTTTACACCATACATTCAACATACAATCAAGCAATAAATAAATAAATAAAATCTTGTAGAAGTAAAAATGCTACCCATAGCCTGCATAAACTGTGAGGGACTACGAGGTACATGAAGTGTTTTAAAACAGCACACCTGCATTTGAACAGAGCAACTACTGAGGACACGCTCTAGTAAAAATGCTGCTACAATTTTACGGACTTCAAATACTAAGACCCTCTTTGACCAGCGTTACAAAACGCAAGCAGCTGCTACACAAAACTTGCAAGAAGTGGGCATTTCTCCTAAGGGGGTTGTTATGAGACACCTCAGCACCCCCGCAGCCCTGTTCCTGAGGGGATCGTGGAGGGGACAGGGTGCTGGAGAAGAGGTTTGGCAGGTGGGGTGCCCCTCACCAGGCCCCCCAGCCCCGTGGCGCTCTGGACTGCGACGATTGCTCTGCCTGGGTGCAGCCGCGGCTCTCATCTTCCTCAGGGAAAGGATGCGAAAGTCCAGGAGGGAAAGAGAGAGACAGAGAGACAGAGTTCACAGCCGGCACGCCGCGGTGCCGCTGGAACTGCGGCCGGGATGGAGCCCGGACAGCAACATCGCATGCTTTTTTTTTTTTTTTCTTTTTTTAAATTTTTTTTTTCCCTGATGTTTTCGGCTCTAGCAGGGCTCCGAGGCCCAGACCCCGCGATGTCCCGGGCGAGGGGCCAGCCGCCTGCGGGCCACCGCGTCTCTCATCCATCTGCCCCACCAGCCCCGGGAGCGGCTGAGGGGCAGGGGACCCTCGGGGCGGCCCTTACCTGGGATGGCCAGGTTGGTGAGCGGCGTGCCGTGGATGCTGTCGGGCAGGGCTGCCATCCAGTCGGCGAAACGCAGCTCGTTCTTGCCTTGCGACGAAGCCATGCCGCCGCCGTGCCCCTGCCGCTCTCCCACCGCCAGCCGCTCGCTCGCTCGCTCGTTTCAGCCCAGCCCAGCCCAAGCCCAAGCCCAGCCCGGCCCGGCCCGGCTCGGCTCCGCCCGCCCGGCACCGCCCCGCTCCTCGCCGCCTCTCCCCCGCGGGGCCGCCGCCCTCTCACCCCCCGCCGGGCTCCGCTCGCCCCCCGCTGCCGCCGCCCCCCGGAGGGGCTGCCGGGCTCCGCCGTTTCCCGCCGGGGCCACCCGGGCGCTGCGAGCTCGGCCTGCTCCTGGGAGGGGGCTCCGGGGGAGATCGGCTGCCTCCTCTGCCTCAGGGCGAGCAGTGGGGTCGGTGACAGCCCCCTGAGCTCGGCAGGGGGTGGGTTAAATAAATGCCTGCTGTGCTGGGACAGGTGGCCCCCCAGGGGTTTCTCAGCCCATGACTGGCTCAGGTTGCTCCTCATATAAACTCTGTGCAGTGGGTTGCGTTAAAAAACATCGTTCCTCACCTGAGCCCTCTTCAATGATCTGGTTTTTTTAGGGTCTGTGATTTTGTAGTGGCCGTTGAAGATGGTGTAAAGTAGTATCATCCACTATCATTCCCAACCAAACTTTATTTCAAGAGGCAGCTTCTTAAAGGTTGGCATTGGCAAAGCAATTTTATTTCTGCCTTTGGATCAATGAATTAGTGAAGCTGATAAAGCTCAGTGACCATCTTGAGCTGTTACAGCAATCCTGATCTTTTGACCTCAACATGACCGCTTATGTTTTATTAAAGTATCTAGTAGGTGATATGTACGTGGAGTTCTGGAGATGTTCACCTGGTGGATCTGCCATAAACAATGCCTGAAGAGATACAGAAGCAATGCTTGCTTTGCCCTGAAGTCCTAGGAGAGCCAGCTCTGGTCCTGTAGTTTGTGTTCTTCCTCAACATTTTCACTAGCAGCTGGCTTTGGAAGTAAGCATGAAAGGAGCAATTATTAATAACCATTATTTCTTTTTCAGTGCAAGTTTGAAAAACAAAACAAACAAAAAAACCTCTTCCTTCAAGCACAATACAAAAGAAGGATTTCTTGAAAAATGACTGAATATTTCTGAGGTATTCAAAAAAAGGAAAATTGCTGACTCACTTATTGCAATAGAAACAGCTCTTAAGGTGGGATCCGTGTGCAGAAATGTGAACAGATGGTTGACCTTGTGAGAGACATTGGATCGCAATTGGTAGTACATGAAAAAAGGGATGGAGTAAACAGTCATGGTGACAGGTTTAATTTTTGCAGTGTTAGTTCCCTGAGTACTAGTATGCTAATCTGCCCTTCCAAAATCACTGGTATTAGTAAACATGGGAAAAAAAAAATAAATCCAGATTTTGAATATGAAGGCATAAAACCCACTAAGGACATGGAAAAGGAAGATGCTGCCTTACTTAATTTTCAAAAGATGGTAAGAAATAATAGTCAAAAATTATAAATTTCCAAAGAGCATTCAAGTGAGGAGTAATGAATATTTTTATTAACATGATTGGAACAAATCAGTTTAAGTGGCAACATTAGTAATGGATTGCACTGTTTACCTGGAAAACTGCTGCTGAATTTTTATCCACTCCACTATGTGTTGTATCTTTTCTGACACAAAACTGATGTATATTGCTTTTTGAAAGGTTAAACATGTTATTAATAACTACTGTTGATCTCTTTCAGTCTCAAAAGCTTTGGGTCTAACTCAGAGCAAAATAAAACAAATACATGAAAGTCCTGTCATTTTTTGATGTATTATTTTTTATAATAATGCTAGAACTATGTGATATCATTCCAGGTCTCTCAGGAATGCATTCTACTTTACTGGAGAACTGTAAGTGTCCCTCTTTTTAATAGCTAGAAATTTGTGGGCCTTTGCTTCCACAGGTAATTGGAGCTTTTGTATCTGATTTTATTTTATTTTATTTTATTTTATTTTATTTTATTTTATTTTATTTTATTTTATTTTATTTTATTTTATTTTATTTTATTTTATTTTATTTTATTTTATTTTATTTTATTTCATTTATATTATTTTTTTGTTTCAGCATGCAAAGCAGGATTTCTTAAAAGTCTGGATTTTCAAACCATGGATACCCTGCTTTCTAAAAACCAGTCCCCCCCTAGTATGTCTCACACTAACCATGTTGAAGAGGTTTGCCTCTGTTTGCAATGTACCGTAACTGCTAAGATAGCAGACTTGAAATCTGTCACTGATTCCCTATGAACTTCTGAGAAAGCACACACAAGTAATTTAGAGGGAAGTCGTGCAGGAGAGGAAGCTCCAATGGGACAGAAGGTAGGAAATACTTCTCTAGCAACTTGAGAAAACACTTATGTGGAATTTTTGACTTAAAACATAAAGATAGCTTTCTCTTGAGTGCTTCAGTGATCTGTAAGTTCAGAATAACAAAACATCCATGTCTGGGAAGAGGTTAATAAAAAAAAAAAAAAAAAAAAAAAAAAAAACACAACAAACAAACAAACAAACAAACAAACAAAAAAAAAAAAACACAAAAAAACCAGAGCAAATGCCTCTCTTGGTTGAAGAGCAGCTTACTTTGGTTTGGCCTAAACCTATTTTACGGATTTTATTGGATTTAGAATCACAGATTCATTAAGGCTGGAAAAGACCTCCAAGATGATCTGGTCCAACCATCCCCCTACCACCAATATCACCTGCTAAACCACGTCCCTAAGCACCACATCCAGCCTTTCCTTACACACCCCCAGGGACGATGACTCCACCACCTTCCTTGGCAACCTGTTCCAAGGCCTGACTATTTCTGAGAAGAAATGTCTCCTCATTTCCAACCTGAACCTGAGGCCATTCCCTCTAGTCCTGTCACTAGTTATCTGAGAGAAGAGGCTAACCCCCAGCTCCCCCCACCTTCCTTTCAGGTAGTTGTAGAGATCAATATGGTCTCCCCTGAGCCTCCTCTTGTCCAGACTAAACAACCCCAGTTCCCTCAGCCGCTCCTCACAGGACTTGTGTTCCAGGCCCCTCACCAGCTTTGTAGCCCTCTTCTGGACATGCTCCAAGGCCTTGATGTCCTTCTTGTAGCAAGGGGCCCAAAACTGAACACAGTACTCAAGGTGCGGCCTCACCAGAGCAGAGTACAGGGGGACGATCACCTCCCTGGTCCTACTGGCTGCACTACTCCTGATACAAGCCAGGATGACATTGGCTTTCTTGGCCACCTGGGCATACTGCCAGTTCATGTTCAGGTGAGCATTACTAAAACCTCCAGAGCCTTCTCCTCTGCACAGCTTTCCAGCCACTGTGCCCCAGGCCTGTAGAGCTGCATGGCGTTGTTGTGGCCAAAGTGCAGGATCTGACACTTAGCCATGTTGAACCTCATCCCATTGGCCTCTGCCCATTGACCCAACCAGGCCAGGTCCCTCTGCAGGGCCTTCCTACCCTCCAGAAGGTCAACACTTCCTCCCAGCTTGGAGTCTTCTGCAAACTTACTGTGTGCACTCAATTCCCTCATCCAAGTCATCAATAAAGGTATTAAAGAGGATGGGGCCCAACACTGACCCCTGGGGAACATCACTGGTGACCAGTCACCAGCTGGATTTCACTCCATTCACCACCACTCTCTGGGTCCAGCCACCCAGCCAGTTTTTAACCCAGCACAGAGTGTACCTGTCCAAGCCATGGGCTGACAGCTTCTCCAGGAGAACACTGGGGGAGGCCATGTCAAAGACCTTGCTGAAATCTAGGTAGACTATGTCAACAACCTCATCCACCAGGCGGGTCCCCCGGTCATAGAAGGAGATGAGGTTGGTCAGGCAGGACTTGCCTTTCATGTACCCATGCTGACTGGGCCTGACCCCCTGATTATCCCACACATGCTATGTGATTGTACTCAGGATGACCTGTTCCATCACCTTCTCTGGCACTGAGGTCAATCTGACTTGCCTGCAGTTCCCTGCATCCTCCTTACAACCCTTCTTATAAATGGGTGTCATGTTAGCTAGCCTCCAGTCACCTGGGGCCTCTCCAGTTGACCATGACTGCTAATAGATGATGGAAAGCAGACCAGCCATAACATCCACCAGCTCCCTCAACACCTTGGATTGATTGCATCTGGCCCCATGGGTTTATGGCAGTCCAGGTGAAGCAGCAACTCTGTTTCCACCTGAACTGTGAGGTGTTTATTCTGTACCCTGTCCCAGACTTCCAGGTCAGGAGGATGAGTACCCCAAGGATAGCTGGTCTGACTATTAAAGAGAGATGTAAAGAAGGCATTGGGAATCTCAATCTTTTCCTTATCCTCAGTAGTCATGTTCCTCACTGCATCCAGAAAGGATGAAGATCCTCCCTGGCTCTCCCCTTACTGTTAATATATTCGTAAAAAGAATTTTTGTTATCTTAAAACATTTTTCATTATCTTAAAGAAAATTTAAACTGTGGCAGCAAGTAAAACAAAGCCAGAGTTTCCATACAATCTTTTGTTCCTATTTACAATATATATATATATATATATATATATATATATATATTTTTTTTTTTTTTTTTTTTTAATCGCATCTTTGTTCAAATTACCTAATCCCTACACACAGCAAGTCTGGAGTGTTAAAGAAAACAAATTCCAGGAATTAAATACTTTAAAAGTTTAAGAGGGACCAGATACAATGGAAATGAAAGGCAATGCACAGATAGTGAAGAATACCATCTTCACTCTTTTATTCGCAACTTTGTTGAGCTCACTGAAGATGCCATGAAGAGAAGGAGAATTGAAATTGTGCTATTTTTTCATGGCATATTGTGTTCTCTCCAGTCTGCAACTATAACCGCATTGATGAACAGTGACACCTCTGCTTCTCTGGAACAGGAAAACACAGTAATTTAGCCAGTAGGAATGTTACTTCAGCACTCAAAATTAATTTCATTGTTAAAAAAAAAGGTTTTCCATTGTTTTCATTCTCTTAAAAATTAGCATTTTAATGGTAAACATTCATTGTTAAATTCTGTCATTTTAACAGTCAGATGCATTGTCTTTTCGCATGTCCTTGGCATCTATTTTAATCATGTGAATAACAAAAGAGTAGTAACAGGATCTTTTTCTCTAAATAGCATAAAGTAC